TGGGCAGGGCTCAGTCCTGCAGGTGCCTCTGCTCTGGCAGAGCCTGAGAAGCCCCTGGAAGTTCTGCTGGGCATGGAGAGCTGACTGCTGGCTGCAGGTCCCTCCAGTCCCTGTGGGAGGTGAGGGGCACAGCCAGAGTGGACTCAGGAATCGCCTGCCACTGTCCTCTCCACAGAGCCCTGCAGATGAAGAACCCTGGGGTGTCACCTATTCTGAGGTATCACACCCTAGATAGGGGCAAGGAGGAATGTCACTTTTGTCACCTGAGTCAGGGCCATTCCTGTTCATGAAGGACACATCAGAGGGAGAGGACAGCCTGCAGGAATGCCAGGTGGGTCTTGTCCCTTCCAGGCCCAGGCTGCCCAGGCTCCGCAGACACCAGCCTCACCTGTCACCACTCTGTCCTCACTCCAGGTGGCTGCATCTGGTGCCCCCCAGGGTGTGACCTACACCCAGCTGAAGGACCTCAAGCTCAGGCAGGGGACAGCCACTCCTCCTTCCTTTCAAGGACAGGAGCCTCCCACTGAGCCCAGTGTCTACACCACCCTGGCCTTCCACTAGCCCAGGACACCACTCAGATCCCACGCTGCAAGGACAGGGACACAGGGACCCCAGCAGGCACAAGACAGCCCATGGACATTCAGCTGGGTGTCACGGCCAGCCTGGGGCCTGACATGCATGGCCAGGAGCATCTGCGACCTGCTGGAAGTCACCTGATTCCCAGTCACAATAACTGGTCCCCAACCATGTGCCACGTTTGGCCATTTTATTCCCTAGTCACCAACAGGCAAGGGGAGGGGTCAAAAGGCAAGTGAGCAGATGTGTGACGGGAAAGTGCATCCAGCTGGTGACGCACAGAAATGAAGTGACTTTGATCAAAGGAAACTTACAATAAAGTTCAAAATGTGCTGGGGTGACTCTGGGGAGTCCATGTCACCTGCCTTCCTGCTGATTCTCACATCTGGCTGGGACCCCTCTGTCCAGCAGCATGACCTGGGCTGAGTGGCAGCCTGCAGGGGTCCCCTGCCCACCTCAGGAAAGCGTCTGTGGAAAGGGGAGCAGACCTGG